AAATGCAGAGTAATTAAAATTGGCGTTGCACAGCCCTCCTCAGTGGGTACCTTTCCAAGGAAAGCGATGACTTTATTGTGGAAAAATATAAACACAAATTTGGAGATGTAAATTACATGCATGTTTTAATCCTGTTCATAAACACTGAAAGTTTTAAAAATGTAAATATAATCAAAGTGCACAACTGCAGCTGAAACCAGATTTGAGAAGGATTTTGAGGAAGAAAGAAGGTGAAAGGCCCTGCAGTCTCCCCAACCCTCACACCCTGCCCATCCCAACCCTACCCACCCATTTCCCCCCCACCCCATCTTTGTGGATTCGGAAAAGAAGAGATAGAATTCTGCCCTCCAGTTTCTGAGGACACAAATCCTTGTCTTTAATTTGTCAACATCACAGAAGAGATGGTTAGTATTAACCCTTTCTCTCCATTTCCTCTCCTGCCTTAACCCTTTTGGTCTATGCGTGTGATGTTTGAGGTTAATGAGTACGATCCACAGTGACTAAGCATTGGATTATTTGCAGCATGGGAATGAAGGAGGAAATTTATCCAAACACTATCCAGATTCTTCTATTTCCATACTTTAAGCACGAGAGTGACCTCAAGTAGAGCCAGTTCTAAAGGCTGAGCTTGGAGAAATAGCATTAGATAGTAGAAAATTGACTGCAGTGGTGTTGAAGAAATGTGTGTGGGTTCTACCTTGACTGTCCTTTGCTGCCAGAAATGATTTTGGACAAGAATCTTCACTTCACTGGGCCACAGTTTCTCCATCTGTTGAAGTCATTGAATTGGGTAAAACGAGCTGTAAGGTTCCTTCCATTTCAACCTTTCTGTAATATTATGCCTCATGGATCCACTCCAATCTAAATGGGGCCTGGGAAATTCAACCCCAATGTGGTACCCTTCCCCAGGTGGCCCCAGGAGTCAGAAATGTTCCAGACGAGGGCCAAAATTTTCCTCTGCCAAAGCTCCTCCACTCTGTAATTTAAAGCCAGGACTCCCTGAGACTTTTGTAGGAAGTCTTTTGTCCTGGCCTCAGTTCTGCACCTGCTCAGCTGGGCAAGGGGCCCTCCCTCCCAGGAGGGAATGACCTGATGTCTGGCCAGACCATCAAAGTTCACGGTTGGAGTTGCCATCGCGATGACCCAGTGTAATAATTCTGCATATTTCATCTACATTGATGAGGGAAGTATTTAGCAGGGCTTTTATATTCTGTTCCTCTCTCAGTGTGTTCCCTTTTCAGAGTAGGGTAGTGGAAATTTATAGGATTATGGGGAGAGATACTAAGGGCCACCTGTCATTGGTATAAATCATTTCAAATGAAATTATGGTGTGGTATTCAGGGGAAGCTCAGTTTCAAGGAACGAAACATATCAAGAGTCTTTGTAGTAAGTTGTGTACCTGGGTGAGTCTACCAGGAGAGCATGAAGTCAAGTTTTCCTTGATTGATTGTTTTAAGGTGGAAAATAAAAAGTACATTGAGAATTTACCATTTGTTCTCCCAGTATATTACATGGTAGGAAAGGGTTGGGATTTGGAAGTAGGGTAAGAGACATGGTTGTGGGTTTGAAGATTCGTTTTCCAGTTCGACCACTGATTCCCACCTGAGCTCTGAAGGAGGTCAGTTCAAAGGACCATTGAGCCCTGGCCTGGCCGAGGCTTCACCACATAGCCTTTGTGATGGTTGCCTCTGGCTGCCCTGGAAAGGAAACAGGGTTTGGGCTGGTTCCAAAAAGAGCTCTCTGATCTAATTTGATTGGAGTAGCAGAATGGTGAAATTTCCAGAGCAGTCCCGGGTTAAGGCATTGGGAACAGAAGTTGGGGGTGTATTAGATGTATGTTGCCAAACTGGAACTTTTGGGAAAACAGGAGAAGGGATGAATATAGGAAAGAGGAATGAAATATTAGTAAAAAGCTTTGGGTCTTCTAATCTTATCACAATATTTAACACCGTTTTTCTTGTTTTATAAGGGTAGACATATATGTTATGTTCATGCACTGTTAGCAACAGTAGTTGTGCTTTGCACATTTCATTATTGATTTTTTTAATGATCAGACTAGAAAGGAGTAATTTATACAAAGATAATGTTCCTGTTTTAACTAAAACATCAAATAATCCATAAGGAAATAACCTTCACCTAAAAGTTCTCAAACTGTTGGATTAAAGTCCTAAATATAAAAACCAAAACTATAATACTCTTAAAAGAACACATGGGTACATCTTTATAACCTTGGATTTGGCAATGACTTCTTAGACGCGACACCAAGAGCAAAGCAATAAAGAGAAAAATAGGTAAATTGGCCTTCATCAAATTAAAAATATTGTGCATCCATGAACACTATCAAGAGGGTGAGAATACATTCCAAAGAATGGGTAAAAATATGTGCAAATCATGTATCTGATAAGGTCCTAGTATCCAAAATATATAAAGAACTCTTAAAACAATAAAAAGTTAACAAACCCAATTTAAAAGTGGGCAAAAGACATTTCTCCAAAGAAGATAGAAAAATGGCCAAAATGCACATGAAAAGATGCTCAACATCATTAGTCCTTAGGAAAATGCAGATTAAAGTCTCAACACAATACCATTTTACACCCATTAGGGTGGCTATTATACAAAACACAACAAAACCAGAAAATAACAAGTGTTGGTTAAGATGTGGAGAAAGTAGAACCTTCATACATTGCTAGTAGGAATGTAAAATGGTACAGCCAGTATGGAAAACAATTTGGCAGTTCCTCAAAAAGCTAAGCATAGAATTGCCATATGATCCACCAGTTCAACTTGTAGTTCTATACCCAAAAGACGTGAAAACAGGTATTCAAACAAAAACTTGCGTACAGATGTTTATAGAGGTGCTCTCACAACAGCCAAAGTGAAAAAACCAAAATGTCCATCAACTGGATAAACAAAATGTGGTCTTGTCCATACAACAGAATGTTACTCAGCCACAAAAAGGAATAAAGTACTGACATTGGTTACAACATGGATGAACCTTGAAAACGTTATCCTAAGTGAAACCAGCCAGACACAGAAGGCCACGTGTTATATGATTCATTTATATGAAATATTTAGAATAGAAAAATCCGTAGTAACAGAAAGTAGATTAGTGGTTACCAGGAGCTGGGGTGAGGGAGGAATGGCGACTTCCCGCTTAAGGGGCATGGGGTCTCCATTCAGGGTGACGAAAACGTTCTTGAACTAGATAGTGGTGACATTGTGAATGTATTTAAGGCCAGTAAATTATACACTTTAAAATGGTTAAAATAGTAAAGATTATGTTATGTGTGTTTTACCACAATAAAAAAAAAAGTTTCCAAACTATATAAACATCATAGAAACTCTGGTAATCTGACAAACAAATGAGCTCAGGTTTGCTGAGGAAATGCATATATTTGAAGTATAGCCTTTGGGACTGGGGAAAGCTTCTGGAAGAGAAAATGTACATGACTGAGGATGAGTCCTGTTTCCTGGTCCAGACTTGCTGTTCTGTGGCCTGGGGCAAGTCCTGTAAACTCTCTGAGCCTCAGTTGGGAGCCTTGGACAAACCTTCTATTTCTGGGTGGGAAAAATCTCAATCACTTGTGGGACCTTTTCAAGCCTCACACACTTGCATTCACCTTGGCCTCTTACCCAGTGTGAAGGGTGGAATATTTCTGATGGAATGCTCTACTACCAGGAAGAGCAGGTGGGGGACACACACAGGGGTCTGGGAGTGTGAAAGTACGCTTTCTGGTAGCGCCTTTGTAATACTGAGAAGTCCTGGAGCTGGCTGTATTAGCGCTCGCGTTCCTGGGAAGGGCAGGAGGTAGATTCATTCATTCCTTCCTATGCCGCCCACTGGCAGATGTCCACACTGAAAGACACAGAGCCCCTGAGTGGGTGGAGTGTCTGTCCTAGAGGGAGGAGAGATCATTCCAGAGTCTGTCTGTGAACTGCAGTTGTGGTGAGTGTGCTGAAGCAGCAGTAAATGCTGCGTGGACGCGTATTCCAGCGCTAGAGATGCTCTGAGGAAGTCATGGTTGACCTGCCTCTGAAGGATGACTTGGAATGAACCAGGAAAACCAGGAAGGTGCAGACCAGCATTCCTGGGGGAGAGAGAACCGTGAGGAGGAAGGAAAGCAGAGTGGGCTTGGGGAAGACATCGCGAAGAAAGCCTCATGCTGGGAGGTCATGCTGAGTCGTGGTCAATGTCACTGAATTAAAAGGCCAGGGGAGTATTTTGCTGAGACCACAGTAGGCACTCGTACCAGCAAATGCTGCTTTCACGTCCCCACAAAACTACCTCCTGTGCTCTGGGAGTACGTTAGCAGCAGTAACCACACAGCATCTCTGAAACTGAAAATGGTCCCCCGAGTTGGCTGTGACCTGAAGCCACCGTTCCTCGGAGCCTATACCATCTCCCCAGCACAGGGCAGTGTGGGTTGCAGAACCAGTGGCTCTGGAGTGTGACACCCAGCCTACCCTGGGAGTGCTGGGAGAATGTGTCTCCTTTTGGTCTTTGGGGTTTTGGCCTATCACCCAGTAAATCTAGGCTCTGAGGATGGTAGAACTACCCAGAGTTTCACTTGTATTCGGCAGGACCATTGCATGTATTTGGTGGGTGGACCGGATCCATCTTTGTGGTGTAGGCCACATTTGCTTCCACACTTTGATGGAACCCAAGGTGAATGGAGCTCATACCTGCCAGTCATGGGCCGTACTCCTAGGAGCCTTCCCTGCTTAGAGTTGACGTGGTTGGAGGGCCCAGTGCTGCAACTCTGGGGTGTGTGCGATGCTCCCGGCCGCCCTGTCCATGGTGCAGCGGTGGGGAAGGGAGGGTGGTCACAGCCTTGATTAGAGTTGTCCCATTAAGGAAGGGAGCTTATCTGTAAGTCCTACTTTAGGCAAGGCCCCCTGTCCAAACTCTATTAAAATAATTTGGAGGCTTATGTGTCATTTCTTCTCTGTAACCATAAGTCTGTTCCATCTGGCTTAATGTTTTTTCCCTTTGCTTGCAGGAGAGTAGATCTGGAGAAACCAACAGCTGTGTTGAAGAAATAATTCGGGTAAGGATATTCTTTTACAAATCTTACCAACTGGTTGACATAGATTCCAAATAGAAGGAGGTGCAGCTGCAGTGTCAAAGTGAGCCCATTGTTCATGTGTTGTTTGATCTTTACCCTTTCTGAGGGTAATCACCTAAGTTGCCTAGATAATAGTACTTTACAAAACAACTTCTGAAGCTTCCTTTAGAAACCTAGGAGCTACACCTTAATCTGGTCCCTTTTCACAGGCTGAGGTGACACTGTATTAAAGGGATCAGCTGGAAGACAGAACAACAGAGTTGAGATGAAAAATATGATTGTGTTCACATTTGGACACCCTCATTTATCACCCTACTATTTAAAAGCATCTTTCAATAGTCTGTGCTTTCCAGTCAGGCAGGGGTTGCCTGGTTATTTTTCCCCCAAACGTAATTAGAATCAGAAGCGCTCTGACAAAGAGGTGATGCTCAGTGTTGAAAATTTATTTCTATATTGTTATGCGTGTTATTATTTTGCCTGTTACTCTCTGCCAGCCTGTCCTTTTCATCATCATCATCTCACGTGCATAGCCTCTGTGAACTAGTTTCATGCGCAGATGCACTTAGGCTGGGCTGTTCTGCCATATGTTAGTGTTCTCCTGAGTACTCAAACTTATAATCAGGATGTCCTCTTCAACCTATATTTTGTCTTCAATCATATTTTTCATTGGGATAACAATAATTTATAGCTCTCAGAAAGCTGATATTACACTGGGCAAAACACCAAGGCAAATCAGACCAGATGGTGTGGCAATTCTCTATAAAGAAAAAGAAAAACTTTATTTTAATAGGTTTGTAACTTTTGGGCATCCTACACACTTTTTCTTGAATTGCTAGTGAATTACAGTTAATCTGGTTATGTGGTTTAAAATTTTACATTAACCATCAAATTGTTTTCAGCGGTAGGATTTTTATTTCTTCCTGGAAAGCATTATTTCATAAATAAATTTTGTCACTCTCAAATTGATTAAAATAACTCATTGACGTTTGATTTGATGAATTCACATTGATTTTTGTTTTTCTGGCAGAGATTTATATAGAAAGCAGTTGTCAAAGTGTGGTAGCTACATTTCTGGCATTTAAGTATGTGTTGAATAAAATACGTGTTGTGTTTTACATCTAAATTATCTCTATCTTGGGGCCTTGTTTCAGGTTAAACACAGATAGTGTAAAATGCAGATGTACTTTTCCTATTTTTCTCTTTTAACATACTTTCATGTTTGGGGTCCCAGTATTCAATGTTCAAGCCATCTTCCTTTGATTGGTTATGGTGTTTATATCTGCAAAATGATAATACCACAGCACACCAATACACTCTTTGGTTTCTCTGTTTATGTTTTAAAAATCCTACCCCTTCTCATCCTTTCTTATCTTTTCTGAGGATATGGAAGAACTCTGTTGTTTGACCTTTTTCTGTTCTATATTCTAAGCAGGGCTTGAAGTTTATAAAGAGCTTGAGTATTTCTCATACCATAATGATATACTTTAGAGAAGCAGTCCACAACCTTTTCGGCACCAGGGACTGGTTTTGTGGAAGACATTTTTCCACGGGGGTGGGGGGATGGTTTTGGGATGATTCAAGCGCATTACATTTATTGTGCACTTTATTTCTATTATTATTACATAGTAATATGTAATGAAATAATTATACAACTCACCGTAATGCTGACAGGAGGCGGAGCTCAGGCGGTAACGCGAGCGATGGGGAGCGGCTATAAGATACAGATCAAGCTTCGCTGGCTTGCCCGCCGCTCACCTCCTGCTGTGTGACCCGGTTCCTAATAGCCACGGAGCGGTGCCAGTCTGTGGCCCGGGGTTTGGGGACCCCTGCTTTAGATAGTGCAAAATTCACTTCAAATAAAACTGAATGCTGGGGCTTCCCTGGTGGCGCAGTGGTCGAGAGTCCGCCTGCCGATGCAGGGGGCGCGGGTTCGTGCCCCGGTCCGGGAGGATCCCACATGCCGCGGAGCGGCTGGGCCCGTGAGCCATGGCCGCTGAGCCTGCGCGTCCGGACAAAAAAAAAACTGAATGCTGTAGTCAAGAGTTTAAAGCATTATTTATTTTTTTCTTAAGAGAGCCGATGAGAGCCTGGCACCCGGCTCCCACTCTCCTACCTTCCCACGATACTGACCCCGAATCCATCACACCTCGGGTGCCGCCCCTGCCCGCCTTGAATCAGGCGTGGAACAAGAGGGAAAGCCTGGACCAATGAGAGAATTGATTTATGTGTACGCGCAGGGTCAACGGTAGGGGGGATGCTGCCTTCATCGGAAGACAGCTGAGCTCTGAGCTCCACACTTCCCAGAGCTTGTGAGGAGTGTTCCAAAGAGGAGATGGTACCGACTGGGAAGGGATGGTGGTGCTGGTGCTGTCGTGTGAGCATCTTTCTCTCCCCTCACCTGGCAGTCTAAGGTGTTAGTAGTGCTCTAACGTCAGGAACTCCTAGAGGATCATGTCTGTGTTCCCAGTTTTGCCTGGAATGTTTTTCTGGCTGTCACCTGCCTCTCACACCAGGCAGCCCCAGGATCGTCTTCCCCTCTTATCCTAAGCATCTCCTCTCCTGCAAACACAAGCGCAGGGCGCCTTCTCAGTTACAGCCTGTTGGATTTCTTGTGTATCTGTCACACATCAGTATTCTTCCCACACGGTGGCTCTGATGTTTGGAATTTAGAATTCACGATTTTATGGAATGAATAAATAAACGAGTGAGCGAGTAAAAGAATCCTCCAAAGGAGAATGATGAGTATCGTTGTGATGGCTCACAGATTCCCTTTGCTGTAAATCACGGACAAGATGTATTGGCCTTTTTAATGCTCGGTTCCTGTGAATCATCTTTGTGGAGCCCAATTTTCCTTACCAGCGTCTCTCCCCTTGGAATCAGCTCGGGTAAACCTGATGTTGTCAAGGTCATCAGAGGTGCTTACTCCTTGCATCCGTCTCGTTTTAAAAAGTCTCTCTCTTGTTGCGGAGGAAGATCAGGGTCATGAAAAATACCTTAAAATAATGAAAATGAAGATGGACGTTGGGTAAGTGTTTGCATGCCCTTTCCACGCGGGAGGTACTGGAAACAGCGGCGGGTCAGAGAGACATGACCCCTGGCCCTTTGGGAACCGACAATGTGCTGGAAGAGATGGATACTAAGTTGTTGTTTTTTTTTTAATCTCGTAAATGAACGTATAATGTGAATTGCGGTAAATACTCAGGGTTGTATGAGCGCTTTACTCTAGGGCACGTTTTACCGAATTTGGGGTCCAGAACTAGTTCCCTGAGGAAGCGGCCCTTGAACTGAGCTGGAGGGTGAGTAGGAAAAGCAACCTAAGGAAAATGGTGAAGGTTCCAAAAAGCAGAGGGAGTGAAGAGCTCGGCTTGTTAAAGACTCGGGAAGGAGAGAGAAGGCCCGCGTGGCTGGAGAGCAGGTGGGAAAAGCCAGGCCGGAGAGGCCAGCCGTGCTGTGCTTTCTCAGCCACATTCGAGCGCCTCTAAGCACAGGGGAACCGGCGAAGGATTGGAGCTGGGAGTGATGTGATCAGATTGGCAGCGCAGATGCACCGTCCTGGCTGCTGTGAGGAGTGGCTTGAGGGGAAAAAGGAAGAGGAATGTGGGGCTGATGCAGGCTCCAAGCAAGGGATGCTTGGTGGAGGCACGGGAAGATTGAGGGAGATGCTGTGTTGGGTGGGGCAGAAGAGGGCATCCTCTGTTAATTTTTAGACGGGCTGGGTTTCAGGTGCCTTTGTGGTGTTCAAGTAGACGAGGAGAATGTAGAGAAACTCGGAACAGAGGTCTGAGCTGCAGGCCAGCGTTTTGGGTGAATTAGCACATTGGTAGTAAAACCGTAGAAATGGGTACATTTGCCTGGAGAGAGACTTGAGGCCGAGAAGCAATGAGGGCCTAAATTCCACCATTTCAGGGGCAGGGAAGGGAGGAAGATCCACTGGCGAACGAACATGAGAGGGAGTGACTAGAGAAAATTGGGACCGTGGAAAGTCACAGAATTCACGGAAGGAGAGTTTCCATTCAACAGGGTGCAGAATTTCTGAGAGGACACGAAAAGATGAGGATCGAAAGCCACCCAACGGACTGGACAACAAAAAGGTCGTTGGTGACCTTATGGAGAGCTGTTTCTGTGGAGCAGAGGGGGCAGGGTCCAGACTGGAGAAAACTGAGAGGATGGAGTCCCTGTGTTTAGAGACCTCTTGTGAGGAAAGGCAGTGGTTTCCATTCCATTTATTTCCGTTCCATTTATTTCCTACACAGTCACGACCACCAATGAGGATAGGCTAACATTTATTGAACACTTACTATATCTGGGACACTCTTCCAAGCTTATTGCATGTGTTTTCTCATTGGACCATCACAACTGCCTTCTGTGGAGTTGGGAACTATTATCATCCCCATTTTACAGAGGAAGAAACTGAGGCGAGGGGAGGTTAAACACAGCTGGCCAAGGGAACAGCTACCACATGGGAGAGCTGGGATTTTAACCAGCACCACCGTCTGGGACCAGCACCCCCTCTCTCTTACCTGCTGTGCTGTGTTATTAAAGGAAGAAGCCCCACCCCCACCCCAGCTCATTCATGAAACCACTCAGGCATTTTGCTGTGAAAGGGAGGTTTCCCGTTCCCATGTGTGTGTGATCTGAAAGTGCCCGATCACGCGTGTGTGCGCTTGAACATATGGAGGTTTTATGGCCAACGTCAGCAGTCTCACCTTTGAACTTCTTTTTCCTCCCCCCTCTCTTATTTTTGCTGAGGTGACTGTTTTCAAGTCGTTTGAATATTACATTATGTTCTCCAGTATAATTATTTTTTATCGTCACTCAGAGAATTTCAGTCCTGGGACCTAGTAAATCTGTGTATTACTGCAAAATTCATTTAGGAGATGGGCACTAAGGGCTGGGAGCCCTCATTGCTGACATATGTTTGTAACAGACAGTTTTCTGTTACACTGTATTTCATCCCTGAAGGCTCCAGTGCTGTTAATACTTAGGTGCTTTCCCTAGCATTATCCATTAACGTAGAATGGCATTAACATTTGTTCAGCAAATAAAATCCATTTACAACTTAATGGGGTTGTGCAGGGCTGGAATCTAGAATGCACAGATTTTATGCCACACAGCTCTAGATGGCGTTTATTGCCGAGCATTCCTCATAACGTAGGGAGCCTTTGTCATGAGAGACCAGTGTTTTGAGATCTGGTTTGGATTTAAAGGATGAATTTAGAGACAATCTCAGTGCAACATCTGAGCAGATTATCTTCTTGGCTTTCATCTTTAGTCACTAATTTAATTCCAATTTCCTGTGAAATATTCATGGCGAATATTTACGTAGAGTTGCCTTTCTGTTGATATGAAAGGAGTAACTGGGACTTGTTTAAATTCTGGAGACCCAAACGAATTTCCTGACACTATAATTGAACAGATTTCCAGCAGACAGAGGGAACTCCTTTTCCTTGGTTTTCTAGAAACTAAGGAGCCTCCTAGGCAAGATTTCCAGTTGTGATGCTGGGAGATCTTTGAGTGAGGAGAGAGTTGAGATTACCATCACATGGGACGCACATCGTCATGGCCCCCTCACGTGTTCAGACCCTGGATGGTGAGTTAAGAGAAACCTTGTGCTTCAATGTCTACAGGCCCCGTAACCCACGTGAAAATATATTAGCCACTCGGAGAAAATAGAAAACAAAGGGACAACTTGTTTTAAGTGATCTGTTTGGGTCGTTTGCAGAGCTGGACCTAGGTCAAATCTCCCGTTTCAGACCAGACAGGCGTTTCCTGCCTCATGTTGTTTTTCTTTTTATTTTATAAATTATCTCATTTGTTTCAAGTAGTAAAGATCTTACTCATGGCAAAATGAAGCCCACAAATGGCAAAATCAATCCGGGTATAAACGTAGAGGAGCCCGTTTATATATCCCATGACTTGTCATAATAAAATCGAATCAAAGCAAAAGTAAACCTGGTGGAGGTCTAGAGGAATTCACCAAGCAAAAGCTACATGTTTTATCCAAGATAAATGAGTTTCACTTGGTAGTGTTTTGTTTTGATTTTTCTTTTTGCAGTTGGCCACTTGGATGGATAGAGACAGCAGTAACACAATTTATATCTTATTTTACATCTGTAGGTACATTTTTACTAGATGTTATTATATTTGTCCTTCTGGCTGAAACCAAAAGCCCTACTTAAATGACTCCATTTCTCTTCCAGGGGCATCCTGGCGCCTGTAAGGGGTATGCAGCAGCCTGCTGCTTGTTTCAGGGCCATTTGGCTACACTTTGTAGGCTTTGTGATGACTCTGGAGGTGTCCAGTTTGAAACAGAGGTGGGGCGAGAATACTCTAATTCAGAATCTGTTCCGAGCCCAGAGGCTTTGGGGTGATGGCCAAAGGGACCATGGAGGTCTGGAAGCTCCCATTGGGAGTGAATGGCTTTGGCTTTCTGTTTTTACCTGTCTCCTTCTGATGCACATGGTTAGACATCACAGAGGCATTTACAGAACCAGGGGTGTGGAAGACCAAGGGGATGTTAGCAGCCCAAGCAGCATATATTCTGTGGGAATATACTCTCTGCCCTCATAGTCAAGGGTGAGTTCTGATACCGCAGTCAATATCTTTGCATGGCTGTTTGTCATTATCTTACTGTGAAGGTGCCGACTGGAAGGCAGGAGGAGGTGCACACATAGTGTTAACAACAGCTGGATGCCACAGGCCGTCACGGAGCTCACGGTGCCGTGTACCTCCTGCTGTGCCCAGGCTGGGACAAGGGAAGCATGTCAGTAGCCAGACTGCACCATGGGCGGGGTTTCCAGCAAGGTCAAAGGCACACCTTCCCCATTTCTCGTGAAGAAACTTGGAGAACTTCAGCACTACATTAGAGGACTGAGGCATTAAATATACTTGATTTTTAAAGTTTTCTGTTGCTCTAGCCTTGCAACGTACATCCACCGAGCAAAGAGATAGTGAGACTGGGCTCAAGACAGAGTCAGATTCTTGGAGGTCCTCTGCAGAGCCACACGTGCTCTGGCCCCAGTGGTGTTCCAGCCTCATCTCTCACCCCTGCCCACCTCTCACTCTGTACATGGCTTCTGCAGCAGCTGCACCACAGCTCTCTCCCTCACCTCCGGGCTTCACGCATGCTCTTCCCTAACCCCAGAGCACGCTCTGTCTACCCCTGACCCCGAACACCCGACTGTTTCTTGCTTATCTTCCAAGCCTCACTTAAGATGTCACTCCCTCCAGGAAGCCTTCCTGATTGCCAGAGTCTGAGTTAGATGCTCTTGTTCTATATTCCCCAAATACCCTTTACTTTTATCATAGCACTTATTGTACTGAGTCATAATTGTCTTTCTTAAGCCCCATTAGGCTCTTACCATCCATCTCCAGGGGCTATCAAACTGCCTGGCATGTAATGGGTGTTAAATTCATGCTGAATAAATGGATGAAGAATAATGAATGAATGCCTTTGACCTTTGGTTCAGTGTCTGTTTTTCCTTTCCACCCTGTTGTCCTTCCAGTCCTCCAACAAAAAAAGATTGAGGTGCTGTCCCCCTGAAACATAAGCTCTCCAAGGGCGGCCAAGATTGTTGGGTTACCTGGGAGCATTAGAACATTTTACATTTCGCACAAATTCAAGAGAGATGAGAGTTGAGCTAATAACTCCTGAGGGTTGGAAGTGAAAAGGCATCCCCAGCTACTGCTGGTATCCATGCCAGAAAAGCTCAGAACTTTTGTGTCTGCCACTTGTAGTCTGATTATCTTTCATGAAACTGAGTTTTCCATTTTGATAGCTAATGAATGTAATGTACAAGTTGAAGAAATCAAGATAGTAAATTTGCAGGGATGATTTGGTTAATTACCATATTGCTGCTGGTGTAATCGAGGGAGGGAAGTCAAAGCTATTTCCACTGCTAATATGCTCCATGTAAAGCAGTTCTTGGAACAATTACCCAAAGTTATCAACTCAAGACATACATTTTAAAATTGTACTTATTATCATGAAAACCACACACGGTGTTCTCTTTTTTCAAATGGAGGGTTGTGAAATTACACAGATTTGCTGTAAATTACTATTGTACACATACAGGAAAGTTAAAAATAATTTCTAAGATCGAAAATGATAATTTGAGTATTGACAAGATACAGGCCTTGAAAAATTAGAACATCTATCTAGATATTAATGATATCTTTTAAGTAAGACATAATTACCTGTAGTTCTTACACTCATAATTATTTAGATCATTATAATGGAAAAAACTTAGAAACCTGATTATTCTTTGGCCATTTCATTTATATGCTGTTTTATGATTTCTGATATATTTGGTTTATAGTTATGCAGTTTGTGTGTTTTTAATGGTTGTTGGATGCAGTGAGATGTAAGTGTTTTAAAAATGTAGGGGTTGAAACTCGACGTTTTTCATGACTTTTAGAACATGTGCCCGTATTTATCTACAGGTGGTTTTGTTCTGATTTTGAAAGCTGTCCATACACACAGCCCACAATTTCAGAACGGGTAATCCAGTTTTGGCATTCTTTTTTTTTTTTTTTTTTTTGCGGTACGCGGGCCTCTCACTGTTGTGGCCTCTCCCGTTGCGGAGCACAGGCTCCGGACGCGCAGGCTCAGCGGCCATGGCTCACGGGCCCAGTGGCTCCGCGGCATGGGGGATCTTCCCGGACCGGGGCACGAACCCATGTCCCCTGCATCGGCAGGTGGACCCCCAACCACTGCGCCACCAGGGAAGCCCTAGTTTTGGCATTCTTTAGGCTCCTAAATTAACTAGTTTTTGCACCTGAGGCATTTTCCCATTTGCACGTGGCTCCATTCCTGGGCCCACGTGTAGCCCAGAAGTTCTGGAGAATCGCTCTGCTTGGCCTGCTTCCTGAACACCTTTGGTTCTGCTGATAAATTGGGAAAAGTACACCTCTTTCTATCTCTCCAGATACAGTAGTCCTCTTTTATCCAAAGTTGCAGTTACCCATGGTCAACTGAGGTCTGAAAATGTTAAATAGAAAATTCCAGAAATAATTCATCAGTTTTAAATCATATGCTGCTCGGAGGCAAGTGATGAAATCTTGTGCCATCTTTCTCCATCCCACCTGGGATGAGAACCATCTCTTTGTCTGGTGTATCCCGTGCATCTCGGTATCTCTCTCGGTACTGTGTTCAAGTGGCTCTTATTTTACTTAATAATGGCCCCAAAGTGCAAGAGTGATGATGCTGGCAGTTCTTCTGTTCTCTGACTGTGCCTAATTTATAAATTAAACTTTATCCTAGGTATGCATATATAGGAAAAAACAATGTGTGTAGGGTTTGGTGCTACTTGTGGTTTCAGGCACCCACTGGGGGTCTTAGAACATATACACCATGGATAAGGGGGGATTGCGGTATTGGGCTGGAAAAGAATGTCATATCCTGACACTAGCTGATTTATTTCTTACAGCTTCTCCCTCTCTCTTTCCTCCCACTAAAAAGGTGTACCTGTTTGTGCAAAAGTATATCTTTCTCTCTCCCCTGAATTTCCTAAAAAGTTACAGGCGTTGTAACCCATGGGCAGTTTGCTGTCTATTATTACAACTTTTTCATTACAGTGTTTTCATATTAATGCCTTATTTTTTATTGTAATCCTAAATAATGAGAGGTCTGTGGTTCTATAGAATTAAAAATACTAAAAATTTTATATTCTTCTTCTGTTTTTAAAAAAAAGTATTTTTCTGTGAACATTGATTAGGCTTCTGAAACGTGATTAAAAATCCTAAGATCAGCATGCTTATTATTGACATATTATGCATTAATTTAAAACTCTGTGCCTCAGCTACTTTTTAATAATCTCAAATATAGATTTATTTTTGCATATAAAGTACATATTTTCTAAAAATCACCCTGGGATTCTATATTATTTTATTTTATTTTATTTTTTCATCTTCTTTAGTAAATTCCTCTATCAATGGACATTTAGGTTGTTTCCATGTCTTGGCTATTGTAAACAGCTGCAATGAACATTGGGGTGCATGTATCTTTTTATTTTTTTTTATTTTAACATCTTTATTGGAGTGTAATTGCTTTACAATGGTATGTTAGTTTCAGCTTCACAACAAAATGAATCAATTATATATATACATATGTTCCCATATCTCTTTATATTAATTTGACAGTATCGATATATTTATATCTGCATACTTTATGAATCATTTTAGCCTTCCCTTCTCTGGCAGTAACTTGTGATCTCACAGTATTTTGGGTCAGTTTTTAAACATGTTTTTGAATTCAGTTTAACAGTGTCTATCTGGGTGGGGGAGAGGGAATGATAGGCTTTTATTTACTTTTCTTTTTTTTATTATTTTGCAATTTTGGAAGATATTTTATATAATTAAAGAGTACTTTTTTGGTAAACATACTATTTTTAATAAAATATAATCTATAAGGGCAAACATGAATCAAGGATATGATAAAATATTGATTAAAATAAATCCTACTGTTTCCTTTGTAGAATATAGATTATTATAAGTGGTTACTTTTTATTTTCCAACTTGGCAACAGTTTAGTACGATAAGCCCAAGAGAAAAGTTAATATATTCAAGATATATTAATATCTGAGTTTGAATACGCAAAGTATTTTTAAAAAGTAATATTATAAAAATGAAAGTCCTTGAGCATATGCTGACAGGACAGGCTTTTAAAAATAGAACCTTTCAAGTTAGCTAAAAATGTTAGTACAGCTTCTGAAAAATGACCGAATCCCCCAAAACCTACCCAGGCTGCTTCTCTGGAAAGCAAATGACAGTCTTTTACCCAGCTTCAAACAGGAAAGCCATTTGAAAACTCAGCTGCAAATGAACTAGAGAGAAAGAGGAAAAGGGATAAAGAAAATCCGGCCATGATGCATGAAGAAGATGGTGTCGCGAGAGGTTCCCTCCAGTGAGAGTAAAACCTCCCCTCTGGGCTGCAAAATGAGCGTTGATCATTCTGACCTTTTCACTTTCTATTTCCTTGTTTTTTTCAATGAAGTCTCTCACTCAGCCCTCCACCCGCACCCCATCCCCAGACTCTGGAAAGAGGCAAGAAATGAACACTGAGTTCTTTTGGACGTTCGCTGGTTATTGTTGTATGAAATCAGGAGATCACTGTGACATGAATACAGACTCAAGAGCAGATTCCCAACAGGTTCAAAACAGTGTAGATGGTGATGGGGGGAGGGGGGACTCATGGTAACTGGAGTCATCTAGAAAGATCGTCAGCAACCCTTGGATAGTTGAAATGATTAATCACTTCAGCACAAAAGAGCACAAAAGGAGATTTGTTAAGAATAAGCGGGGGACAGAGTGCTAC